ATCATTATTATTATTATTAATATTATTATATTATTATAATTACAAGATGTCAAGGCAACACACTGTTGAAAAAGAAACATTTTGAATATGTGATGTTTGATTATCGGAAAATAGTAGTCATTGAAGCGCGCACACTACCTTGAATACTTTACAGTCATTCTCACATCTTCCTCGTGTACATAAGGCTAATCTGACTAATGCTGCCGCCAAGGATACAATGTTGCAACAGAATTCCAGGGGGGGGGTCCCAAGGCTCTGGAGCTGCATCAAGACTGCATCAATCATCAATGACACTTCACTAATCTTCCCTCACAGCACCAGACCAGAGAAGGCTGCTGGCATGTTGGATGAAAAGTTACATGCAACAATCCTACCTCTGGGTAAGGATGGCTCTGTGTCCAATTTGCAACTCTGGAGGAATGTTATGAGAATCTGCAACTTGTTCCAAGCTCAGGAGGTTGCAATTCAGGGCAGGGTTGGTGGCCCTGAAATTGCATTTGGGCTCTGATGTTAAGAGGAAAGTTGTAAAATAATGTTTGTTTTGTATAATCATTTTCATAAATTCTCTGTTTCTCTGATACTAACCAATTTATAATTTTGGGTAGGGGATTTTTGTCCAATCAGTCCCTTGTCCTATAGATTAAAATTATATACATCTTTGTCAGCAATATGGACAACAAGAAAAAGAAAAAAGTTATAAAATGGTTTGGATTTTGTTTGGTATGTTATAAATTAATCATTCTCAAATTCTCTGTTTCTCTTTAATTTTTAATACTTTTCTTTTCATAAAAATTACAGCAACCCAGGACTCAAAACTCTGAATCCAAGGAAAATCCAAAACAGCAACCCAGGTTGCAATCTCCTGAGCTGGAGAATTTTCAACTGTTGTAGGTGCCAACTTTATTATACAGATTGGGATAACACAAAACAAGCATCACACAAGCACCAGCTATCAGTGATTGATGCTCATATGGTAAAAAAACCAGGCCTGGTCTGAGAGGAAGATAGAGAAAGTTTTGTCCAAAGCCTTCCAATGTGTTGGGGATCTTTCAATCATGGGGAGAACTCCATGGTGTTGAATGGCCTTAATTGGCAGACCTGCATGTTTGTGATAGGAAAATTTTAATTAAATCTGACACCTGCAATCAATATCAGATTTATCATTCATAGGGAAAAATAATTTATTTTGTGAATCCCAGAGATCTGGGTAGACATGCATTATTAAGAGTTTCATTTATGCATGGCCTTGGTATTATTACTACTTGGGTGATGCAATTGTTTGTTATGTCAATGATGATATCAAATGTATTGAAT